AAGCTCTGATACCATGTTATTATTATAAACCCATATGTTCTCTCTTATTTTATAGATGTGGTACTCTTAACACAATCTATTTCCCAAGACTGCTTCGTAAAGGACATTTTCGGATTTGCTTTTAAGCATCATCCAACAATCTGGGATGCTCTTTGAAATGTATTTTATTATTTGAACATTGCAATAGCTTGCTGCTATATGAAATACCGGACTGCGTGTACCACCATTTTCCTGCGCAAATATAAGCTGAACAACTATTTTCGGCAAGAATCATTCTAGCAGCTTCATTATGCCCGTATCTTATAGCATAGTGTAGCGGCGTCCAACCTGAATCATCAGACATGCTACACAAGGAGATCTACCTCTGGAACAAAAATTTCGTGCATCCTCAAATGGATATATATCAGTGATACAATTATATGAAAATAGTTAGAGCAAAGGGTTGAGAACAGAAAGGTAAGGAGAGAAAAATACAATCTGGGATATATGCAATTAGCTAGGTTTAATAGGTGTACTTGGGAAAATGATGTAGTTGCATAAAGCGTATTTCATCCAACGGTCCACCATAAATAGGATATTGATATTTGTTAGGAGTTGTTGCAAACAGTTATGAAATCCAAACCTTGTTGCTAAGAAAAAAGGTGTCTCCCCGGCGTTATTGGGAGGGTATACAAATAAATCATCCTCGTCCACCAATAACTGTTTCAGCGCTTCCACATGTCCCATTCGCACGACCTTGTGAAAGGGAGTGTCCATCACATCATTTGTCATATGTAGCATCTCCGTCGCTTGCACACCAGATACAACATCCTTGGTGGCCTTGATGAGGACAGAGATTATGTTGGCATGGCCTTCATGCACTGCACAATGTAATGAAATTTCATTTTTTTTATTCCGAGCAAATACGAAAGACAAGGCTACTGGCTTATTATTTTATTTCCCTAGTATGGTAACAAAATGTTGGCGGCCGTATAACGCTGCAACATGAATCACACCTGGAGGTCATCCTCTCCCACCGCCGTCATCCTCCCTAGAGCATCCTTTGCTTATCTAGAGCATTCTGAGGTGGGAGGTCATCCTCTCCCACCGCCGTCATCCTCTGCTTCCCTAGAGCCGCCGTCATCCTCTGCTTCCCTAGAGCATTGTGAATCTAACCGATTGACAAATCTCTGGAGATTAGCTCTGATACCATGTTATAATTTAATAAGCTTGGACGCTACCAATACCCATAACCGGGTGAACCCAAAGTGGACCGAACAAGCTCTGATACCATGGTATAATTATAAACCCATATGTTCTCTCTTATTTTATAGATGTGGGACTCTTAACACAATCTATTTCCCAAAACTGCTTCGTGAAGGACATTTTCGGATTTACTTTTTAGCATAATCCAACAATATGGGAAGCTCTTTGAAATGTCTTTTATAACTTGAACATTGCAATAGCTTGCTGCTATATAGAATACCGGACTGCGTGTACCACCATTGCCTGCGCAAACATATGCTAAACAACTGTTTTCGGCAAGAATCATTCTGGCAGCTTCATTATGCCCGTATCTTATAGCATAGTGTAGCGGCGTCCAACCTGAATTATAAGTCATGCTACACAAGGAGATTTCCCTCTGCAACAATAATTTCGTGCATCCTCAAATGGATATATATCAGTGATACAATTATATGAAAACTGTTAGAGTAAAGGGCCGAGAACAGAAAGGTAAGGAGAGAAAAAGACAATCTGGGATATAGGCAATTAGCTAGGTTTAATAGGTGTACCTGGGAAATGATGTAGTTGCATGAAGCGTATTTTAACCCAACGGTCCACCATAAATAGGACATTGATATTTGTTAGTAGTTGTTGCAAACAGTTTTGAAATCCAAACCTTGCTGCAAAGAAAATAGGTGTCTCCTCAGCGTTGTTGGGAGGGTATACAAATAAATCATCCTCGTCCAACAATAACTGTTTCACTGCTTCCACATGCCCCATTCGCACGGCCTTGTGCAAGGGAGTGTCCATCACATCATCTGTAACATGTAGCATCTCCGTCTCTTGCACACCAGTTACAACATCCTTGGTGGCCTTGATGAGGACAAAGACTATGTTGGCATGGCCTTCATGCACTGCACAACGTAATGAAATTTCATTTTTCTTATTCCGAGCAAATAAGAAAGACAAGGCTGCTGGTTGATTATTATATTTCCCTTGTATGGTTTCAACAAAATGTTGGCGGCCGTATAACGTTGCGACATGAAGCACAGCTGGAGGTTATCCTCTCTCACCGCTGCCATGCTCTGCTTCCCTAGAGCATTCTGAATCTAACCGGTTGACTACTTGAAATTGGACCAGACCCTCCCCTTCTCCCTGAAACGAAAGCTCTAGAGACTAGCTCTGATACCATGTTATAATTTAATAAGCTTGGACGCCACCAATACGCATAACCGGGTGAACCCAAAGTGGACCGAACAAGCTCTGATACCATGTTATAATTATAAACCCATATGTTCTCTCTTATTTTATAGATGAGGGACTCTTAACACAATCTATTTCCCAAGACTTCTTCGTGAAGGATATTTTGGGATTTGCTATTAAGCATCATCCAACAATCTGTGAAGCTCTTTGAAATGTATTTTATCATTTGAACATTGCAATAGCTTGCTGCTATATGAAATACCGGACTGCATGTGCCACCTTTGCCTGCGCAAACATAAGTTGAACAACTGTTTTTGGCAAGAATCATTCTGGCAGCTTCATTATGCCCGTATTTTATAGCATAGTGTAGCGGCGTCCAACCTGAATCATCAGTCATGCTACACAAGGAGATCTCCCTCTGCAACAATAATTTTGTGCATCCTCAAATGGATATATATCAGTGATACAATTATATGAAAACTGTTAGAGTAAAGGGCCGAGAACAGAAAGGTAAGGAGAGAAAAATACCATCTGGGATATATGCAATTAACTAGGTTTAATTGGTGTACCTGGGAAATGATGTAGTTGCATGAAGCGTATTTCGACCCAACAGTCCACCATAAATAGGACATTGATATTTTTTAGGAGTTGCTGCAAATAGTTATGAAATCCGAACCTTGTTACTAAGAAAATAGGTGTCTCCACATCGTTATTGGGAGGGTATACAAATAAATCATCCTCATCCACCAATAACTGTTTCACCGCTTCCACATGCCCCATTCGCACGGCCTTGTGCAAGGGAGTGTCCATCACATCATCTGTCATATGTAGCATCTCCGTCGCTTGCACACCAGATTCAACATCCTTGGTGGCCCTGATGAGGACAAAGACTATGTTGGCATGGCATTCCTGCACTGCACAACGTAATAGAATTTCAATTTTCTTATTCCGAGCAAATAAGAAAGACAAGGCTGCTGGCTGATTATTATATTTCCATAGTATGGTTTCCACAAAATGTTTGCGGCCGTGTAACACTGCAACATGAAGCACAATGTTCCCATTTGACATAACCTGGAGGGCATCCTCTCCAGCCGCCGCAATGCTCTGCTGTCCTAGAGCATTCTGAATCTAACCGGTTGACCACTTGAATTTGGACCAGACCCTTGGACCAAACCCTCTCCCCTCCCCCTGAAACGAAAGCTCTGGAGACTAGCTTTGATACCATGTTACCCCCTGAAACGAAAGCTCTGGAGACTAGCTCTGATACCATGTTATAATTTAATAAGCTTGGACGCCACCAATACCCATAACTGGGTGAACCAAAAGTGGACTGAACAAGCTCTGATACCATGTTATAATTTAAGATTGGTCATGGTCACTCAAATGGGCTATAATGCACATGGACCAAACTACACTAAAAGATTGAATCCAACCAATTAGCTAGTCTAACCCATGCCCTTATAAACCCATATGTTCTCTCTTATTTTATAGACGTGGGACTCTTAACACAATCCATTTCCCAAGACTGCTTCGTGAAGGATATTTTGGGATTTGCTATTAAGCATCATCCAACAATATGGGAAGCTCTGTGAAATGTATTTTATCATTTGAACATTGCAATAGCTTGCTGCTATATGAAATACCGGACTGCATGTACCACCTTTGCCTGCGCAAACATAAGCTCAACAACTGTTTTCGGCAAGAATCATTCCGGCAGCTTCATTATGCCCGTATCTTATAGCATAGTGTAGCGGTGTCCAACCTGAATCATCAGTCATGCTACACAAGGAGATCTCCCTCTGCAACAATAATTTCGTGCATCATCAAATGGATATATATCAGTGATACAATTATATGAAAATTATTAGAGTAAAGGGTCGAGAGCAGAAAGGTAAGGAGAGAAAAAGACAATCTAGGATATATGCAATTAGCTAGGTTTAATAGGTGTACCCAGGAAATGATGTAGTTGCATGAAGCACATTTCGACCCACGGCTAATTGGAATCGACGCTCACTGCGTCAATTCCGTCACCTTATCCTGGTTCACCGTCCATCTCCATGACGGCGTCACCATCCTCATCTATGCCATTGGGGTCATCGTTATGGTGATCTCTTGCGTCGACCGCATCTTGCACAGGATCCACCGCGTCGATAGGCACATGCGTCACTCACTCCGTGCGAATCCCTCACTACAACATGTTTGTCTGCTTCTGCCGCCCTTCGTGAACCACTCCTCGCCGCACCCTGTAGATCGATGACCTTCTCCTTTCCCTTGGTTACGTTAGAGCTCATTACCTCCTTCTGCTTATCGATCTGTTTCTCAATGACAATCACGTTCGCCCTCCGTTGCTTCCTCCCAACACTTGTATGTTGGACAACATTCTTTGAGCTCCGTGGTGTCTCGGCGATGGTGTTTTCTCCCCCCACTGCACCTTCCGGCACAACAGACTCCACGTTCTCCGTTGGTTCCCTCTCATGTAGACCGTCCAGCGGTTCGAACCGTGATTTGCCCTGGCTCACTGGCGTCATCTCCTTGCGTTGTTTGCCTGGCTCTGGCTTTTGTGTATAGCATCTCTATGGCTTGGTGACCACCATCTATGAGCCATTGGGCTTTGAGGTTGCCTCCGTATCCACGGTGATCTGTACAGCCACTTCCTTATCTGCCATGGAAGGTCCCTTCTCGTTCCCATCTGGAGTCGCGCAGCTCTTCGTGGCCGGACAAGAATCTTGCGCATGGCCATATTTCCCACAACCGAAGCACACCAGATGCAATCCCTCGTAGGCTATGAATCGGCGCTTCCCCTCGAGAGTAAACATGGACAACAGCGGCTTGGTAATGTCTATCTCGACGCAGATCCGCGCGAATCTCCCTCCAGACGCCTGGCTCGTGGCATGATCCACCCGGAATGGACATCCGATCTTGTCACCAACTTTCCAGAGGAAGATCCCACTATAATACTCGATGGGGAGACATGGAAAGCGCACCCACACTAATACCTTCTCAGTTTTGTCTGTCATGGGGTCGAAGTTTGGCTCCCATTCCTTAACAATCAAATAATGATCGAGGATCATCCATGGCCCTTCGAATTTGGCGAAGTCGAGGTCATCCTTGGATCCAAACTTGACTAGAAAATAGTCATTATCAATCGCCACTATCTCAAAACTGCCTTTGGGCCTCCGTAACGCGCAGAGCTTTCGCATTAGGAAGGAGTACCCAACTTGTTTCCCCCATACCTTAATTATGAGAGCTTATCTCTACAGCTCCCTAATCGCCTCCTTCTCCTTCTTGGTGAGTCTGATGGTCGGGCACAGCGGGTCGTCTTCCTCCTCCATTGGCTCCTCGTCGGAAGAACCATCGTCGTCATCCTGATTTCCCAGAGAGGAGTCAACAATCGCCATCGCGTTCTTCGTAACAACATCTCCGAACGATCGCAAAGGTTGAGCTGCCCTAGGCTGGCCTACTGGGGCTTCGCACACCACCATCGCCTCAAGCGGCGTCTCTGGCACCATCTCAATAGGTGTCTCCGCGGGCACTGATGGCTCAGCCCCGCCGAGTTTCGACTTTTTGGTGCACCGTTCGAGCAGATCCTAGTCCTCCGATGACCGTTGTTTCGAGAGAGTTTTTTCCATCGTCACGTATATATTATTATATTATTATAACTAGTAGTTGTACCCGTGCGATGCACGACCATATATATAAGAAATAAAATATATAGTATCATATAATAATAATAAAAAAAAAAGATCATTATTATTGAAAATGTAATAAGACAAAAAAATGTCATTTTGTTGCATGAGGTATTAAATAAAACTTGTAAAAAATAATTTAATTAATTCAATTAGTAATCCACACTAAATAATCAAATCCAATCCAGAAAAAATAATAAAACGAAATTACAATTTGATATATTGTTCATCTGTAGTATGGGAATTTCTGTGAGGCCTACGCTACATTCATATATAAAAAGTAATTTAATAACAAAATAATGGGAAAATCAGTAATAAATACAATAATCAATAAGTATTTTTACAAAATACGGTGCAATTATGACTATTTATGGAACTTACCACAGTTGTATTCCATTGGTGTTGATATGCGATTATTATTGGATTATTCTTGGAACACTTGAAATAAATCTCTATTCACCAGATTACTTTGGGTAGTGTATGCACCTTGTTCTGTGCATGTTTTTTTGTTGCAGTGTGTGTTACCTAAATTAAAATTAGTTAATAAGTCCTTGGTTGTAAAATGCACCTAAATTATTTGTTATTGTTTGCTAACGTTGAATTTTTAACATTTTATGCAAACAACAAAATAAAATAATTAGAAAAAAATAAATAGCAAAATAAATTTGATTCGTAATTATATAATTATATTTTTTTTTCCAAAAAATTAGAGAACCAAAAAACTCAAAGCAATCTATTATTATGATAAATATGTACATGCTCGTAATAATGTTTTAGAATATGTTTTGAAAATATTTCTTCACATAAATATAACAAATAGGAGAAAAGGGTCAAAAAGACCCTTGAACTTTCTTCAAAAGGGCAATTAGGCCCTTAAACTTTATAAAAGTGCAATTACACATTCAAACTTGTGAAAATGAGTCAAAGAACCCCAATTTACCGGTAACCAACAGGTTACCAGTAAATTATTGATGTTGACCGCCGTTGACCATTGGTAATTACTGTTCGCCACCGTTCAAAACAAAAAAATAAAATAAAATAAAAATTCGGCGACTATTTCTACCGGAGAAGACAACGCCCGGTCATCTTCTCCCAGACATCTAGTCGCCTTCTCCATTAGAGAGGACAACCTGCCGGTCGACTTCTCCATTGGAGAGGGCGACCAGATCTGGTCGCCTTTTCCATCGGAGAAGACAACCGGTCGTTCGTCTTCTCTGGTTACCATCTGATTTTTTTTTTTAATTTTTGTATTTGCCGAAATTTTTATTCGCGGGATGTTACCAGAATCGTGAATGATTGGTTATTCCTGGTGAATAACCGGTTACTGGTGTTATATGCCTCAAAATGACAAGTTTGAGTGTGCAATTGCACTTTTGTAAAGTTCAAGGGCCTAATTGCCCTTTTGGAAAAAGTTTGAGGGTCTATTTGACTCTTTTCTCTATTAATAATATATTCATGAAAATGTTGAGACAAACCATTGGACATTTGCATGCTTTAAGTGATCGGATGAGAAATGTTAGACGTATTTGTCAACTAAGTTTATAAATTTTAATTGTATAAATTGTATTTTTAAATTAGTAATATTTTTTTAATAATAGGAAATGTTATAAAATGTAAATTATTTATTTATAAATATTTACGGGTGATTTCCTAAGAAAATTTTCATCCATTTACAAATCCCCAAAGAGTTTGTAGAAAAATTCAACAAACTCTTGAAGGAAGGAAAAATCTATGATATTCAACATGAAGTTACTATCTTTTATTTCCAGTGGATTGAACTAAATGACTCACCAGGCTAATCCTACATTTATTCTAATTTTATATTTTTGGAAGTGACAAAAGTGAATATCTCTAAATGAAACCAAAATATATACAATATAATAATTAAGTTTGAAGTGTATCATTTGAGATATTTGTTTAACTTAATTTGTGAAGTTAATGTTAAGAATTGATGAAGTTAATGTTATGCATTTATAAGAACACTTCATGGTGTTAAATAGAGTAACGATTGAACACTTTATTGCGTTTCGATATTATTAATAATATATTCATAAAAATATTGAGACAAACCATTGGATATTTGCATTTTTTAAGTCAGCCGAATTAGAAATGTTAGACCCATTTGTCAACTAAGTTTATATATTTTAGCTATATAAATTGTATTTTTAAATTAGTAATATTTTTTTAATGATAGGAAATATTATAAAATTTAAAATATTTATTTATTAATATTTACGGCTGATTTCCCTAGAGAATTTGCATCCATTTACAAATCACCAAAGAGTTTGTCGAAAAATTCATCAATAAACTCTTGAAGGAAGGAAAAGTCTATGATATTCACAATTTCGTTGTGCAAACGTATCGCATGAGGTTTAAGTCGTGCTAGCACAAGTACATTATGAATGCGAACAACAACACTTTGATTAGCGTTAGGGATCAAGATGAATCCGATTTTTCCAAACACATGTTCAAACTCAAGAATTTTTTGTCGTTGAAGGCTCCTGGAGGTGTGCATAGCAATCAACTAATTGGTAACTTTTTCTTACAATTACATTTTATTTGGGAGTTATTTGCATTTTCTTTATTATACTAATAATACAATCATTACTGTCTACTAGTGATATTATGTTTTCTTTTTATGCGAAGATGGCAAAATTGGTATACATCTACACAGAAAACATATCTTCTATACAAATGAATTAGGATAGCAATTGATTTATATAACTGAGATGCTCAAGAACGAGCAAATTTGCCTAATTTATACAAATTCTAAACACTGATATATATAATCTCCAAAGTTTTAGCACTGGATGCGTACATATACACATTAGCTATTAATTGAGCAATTATTTACTCGAATTCAAGCAAGGATAACATCAAAACATAATTGATCCAACCCATCTCTTGAATTGCACTATATAATATTTGATGTTATAATTTATATAATTATATATCGATTCAACTATTAAATTTTAACCAACCATGGTCCTTTCAAGAGGACCACGCTGGTTAAATTTTGAAAGTTGAAGGACCATGAGTGGTTAACTTGGACCATGAATGGTTAAATTTGAAAGTCGAAGGACCATAAATAGTCAATTTGAAAATTTAGGACTCAACATGACAAAACCACTATACTCGAAAGACCCCATGTGACATTAACTCTCTTAAAATATTATAACAAATTCATTTTGTGCATTGCACGGGTGAAAATACACGGTGTATATATATAATAAAATATAATATATATATATATATATATATATATATATATATATATATATATATATATATATATATTTGTGTGTGTGTGTGTGTTTATTTATTTGTATATATAATAAATAAAATATTATAATTTTTGGAATAAAGGTCAAATATGCCCTTCATCTCTTTACTTGTATGTAATTAAGTCCATATCTTCTTAAATTTGTGCAATTAGCTCAATTTTCACATAAACATAAGGTAATAGCATGTAAAATTGATTCTTAAAAAAAAAAAAAAAAAAAAAAAAAAAAAAAAAAAAAAAACTAGCTTGGTGGCCTTCTTCTCTGTCCAACTAGACGAAGAAGTCATGGCCTGCTTCTTCGTCCAACTGGGCGGAGAAGCCAAGCGGTGGTGTTTTTTTTTTTAATTTATTTTATTTATTAAATTATTTGAATTAAAAATATTTTAATTCTTTTTTAAAATTTAAAAAATAAAATTTACCTATAACTTAGATGTGACATGGAGTTGCAGCTGAGCCAAGCGCTAGTGATAAAGACGAAGGAAAGGTCGTGTAGTCACCGACCGATCCTTAGTTTATTTTTGCAAACTTGTGTCAAGTTAACTCAATCGGGAGCTCGGTCCCGTTTGTATCGGGCAACTTTTAGCTTGCCTTTTTAATGAATAGCCCGATTATTCTATGTCCTTTGCTTTTCTATTTCTTGCATTCCTGTACTTGTTTAAGCTTAATGCTCGTTGTGCTTATTTAAGCTTAACATTTCACGGTCATTAATCCGGCCGATTGGCTTTATTTCCCGATCATTAACCCGGCCGATTGGCCTTACTCTCTAGCCCCCACACTGCTGGATATACGAGGAATGAGTAAGTGCGGCAGTGGTTAAGAGGTTAGGATATGTTTGAGATTGCCCGGGCTTATGTCTTTTGACATTCTATCCCGATTGCTGTCGTCATCCGACCGTTCGCCGGATTTAGATTTTATCCAACGGGCATTGTGAACAGCCCGGTTAAAAATGTGAAGGACTTTTAAATTCATTAGGTTTTTACCCCCGCCGGTCGGTGCCAAGTGGGGGCTTTTACCCTTATCGGCTATAATCAAAATTTTAGATCCTGGTATTATCGGGCAAGTTTTAGCGACATTGTGGTCGTTGGGCTTTCGCCCGTCTCGATCATTGAGGCCGAGTCTTGGAAGTTGTGAGTCGATGAGTCGGTTAATTCACGATCAAAATCACCCTCCTGACTTGATTCAACAAATTATTTACTATTTACATTTCTTATTGAGTCGATCGAGCCCCCGT